TGCAGAAACATAAAGGTGACTCAACTCCATTACACACTTGATGAATTTTATAAAACTTAGGATATCCTTTACGAGACTACCTAAGGATATTTATGATAATGTGGGCAAGGGAAGCTGATTTTCCTCAAAGAATTTGCTCCTTCCGTTTGGACCGTTTATTGTTTTCTCTCCTTGCCTGGTAGGTTCCTCCGATTGCCAGCCCTTGACAGGTACATGACAGTGTCACTCTTAGGTTGCTGCCTCAAAGTCTGCCATAAATGCTCTTCCTTTAAATGACTAGGCAATCTCTCACTTCCCTGCCTACCATACCCATCTCTTTTACCAACACTCAAAATGGGTGCGATTGTCGAGGACAGCCTAGATTCCTTGCTGGCAGGGGATCTTTCTGATTTCACACAGAAAAGAGCTGCTATCCTCGAGCCGGCCTACAAATCGTATCTCATATCCACAGATTTTCGCCAAGACTCACCCCATCCCTCTTCAATATACCTGCTTCCATCATCCGAGGTTGTTGTCTTGATTTCGCGCTGCCCTGAGACTGAAGCAGCAACCGACCTGTACATCACCAAACTATCAGACACCTTTGCGGAGAACTTCATAGGATACTGCCCCGAAGAGAAATGTGTCGTGTTCAAGGGTGAGAGAGGGTTGATAGACGACTTCATAGACTTTATCGAGTCTGTCGCAGGTGAAAAAGAAGTCACGGTGGTCATGAAGGCCCCAGAACAAATTCGGATACCTCTTGGCGGACTAGAACAGGGCCTCGAGTATGAGGAATTTGTGGCTCGTGTCGAAATTCTCGAGTGCGCTCTATGGATTGGAAACTCGCCGAGCGGTATGTACTCTTCCTCTTCCTCTTCCTCTTCCCTGTGCAAGTAAAGAAGAGGCTCTCAGCACTGTGGAGTTAGAAGTACTCAGAGAAAGTGGCACTCAACTCACCCGTCATTTTCTTCACTTGTTCTTGACCCCCAAGACCGGGCCTCGATCTTCACGGTACCCCTTGAGCCTTGCAGATCCGTTAATACTCATATACTAACTTTGTTTGAAGAACAGGAAGAAGGTGGAATCCGGTTCACCAGAGTTGCTACAGACCCTAAACTTCCCGAGCCAGTCACATCCGATCGAATGCCAACGCCCGAATATGCTTCGGGTGCCTCATCTCCTTTATCAGACGCTCCACCATCTCCTTTGATCCATACTCCATCATCCCCTCTATCTGAACATCCCTCTGACATTGATGAAATTTCATTAAACAACTGGGACGACCTCGATGCATCATCGTCTTCTTCGTCCGAGGGTGTCGAGACCCCTCCCTCACGCCGGAAGTGGGAGTAAAGGCCGATGTCAAGCTCAGTTGGAACGAAACAGAAAGGCTGCCGAAAGAAATGAAATAGGATGATTAGGATTACACATGTACAAAATTAGCTACGGTAGGAGGGCCAGCTTAACGAGCTACTTTCAGGCGACTGTAACAGCTTGTCAGTCGGTTTTTTTTTTTTTTTTTGCAGAAAATCTGACCAAGGCGCAAACCACATGGCTAGGTTAGGGTCTCGAGTTATCAAACACTTCATCTCATGGCATTTCAAAGAAGAAAATTGAAGTGAAAGCAATTAAGCTCTATGTTCATTCAGGTGTTGTGTAGTGTAGTATCTAGGTAGATTATGTGTAAAATCGTAGTCTAAACGCCAACCAATGCCAAGTATTAAACCCATAGTTCTAAGGAGGGAAAGAATAAGAATGTCCGCTATCCAGAAAGCCTCATATGCATCTCATAAATCGTAGAGTTGCGCCGTTTAGTTCTTGAGACCGCAGTCAGAAGGCTTGGCGTGGTAAACCTGGGCGTTGATGCGGCCGAGCTTGACAGCCTGGCCATTTGTGAGGGCGTTCATGGCATCAAGGCCAATGTTGAAGCCAGAGGCAGCGTGGTCGATAGCGAGGACGTTGATCTTCTTGCCCTTGTACTCGAGGCGGTAGCAGCCACCACAGTTGGCAGAGTTCCAGCCCTCGATGATGTTGACACCACCGACGTACTTGGTAGGGACGTTGCCCTGAGTCTTCCAGCCATACTTGGTGATGAGACCATTCTTGCCATCAGAGCAAGAGACAGCGGTCATGGGGCGAGACTTGTCATCGTAGCCAGTGTCGTAGGAGACTGAAATAATGGTTAGTGAGTGAAGATACATCAGAGAATAGTGTCAGTAGACTCACCAGTGGTGGCCGAGACGGCGGAGGTAAGAGCAAGAGCAGAGAGGACACCGGACAGCTTCATGTTGATGGTTGTTGTTGGGTTGTTTGTGTGTAAGTGAAGAGGGAAGTCGTGGTGGTGTTGAGGAGTGTTTGGCTGGAAGCTCGAAGTGGAAGAGAGTGAGTGGTTGATTGTTGTTGTTGAGAGTGATGATACAAGAGAGGAATGGGAATCTGGACGAGACTGAGGGCTCTTCTTATACTTGAGTTCTCACAACGATCTCTAAGAAATCGAACGAACGAACCATGCATACATGCATCTAACGTTACCCATCACGGCCCTCGGGTGATCAGCCTCTCCACAGCCAAATCGAGAACACGACCGGGAAGGCTGGAGGCTGGACAAGCCCAGATTGTCTCCATACAGCGTCATAGTTGGCATTGAATGGCAGATGGACTATCACAACCCGGCCGAGAAGCTACCCAAGCTCCATTCGTATTGACCGTCTCTCGGTGCCATCGCTGCCAAAATTGGCTTTAGCAACGGATGCCAGAGCAAGGCTAGGCCACGCCGTATGCTATTTCGAGGGGCGGATACAGAACCTAGGTACCTTAAGATAGAGCCTAAAGGTAGGACGTGGCGTGCGGAAAGGCTGCTCGCATTACAGTTGAGTCGACTATAGACAGGCCCAGAACCTAGGATCCAGAATATTTCCCGTTGCGCAGGGGTGTAGGGGTTGATTTCTGCCGGTCATGGCCCCCATTTTGGGGCATTGTGGGGTAACGGGATGTTTTTGGCGAGGAATATCTCGTATTCTCAAGCTCAGCTTGAAGCTAGTGTCGTCTTGTGAACAGCACGACGTAACGTAGCTCCAGCGCATTGAGGAGGCTCAGGCTCACTAAGATCTGTAAGATCATACTCTGTAGTAAGGCCCCATTGAGGCTATCATGATGATGACCTTGTTGCGGAATGGCCGGTCATAACCTTACTGCTGAAGCTTCATGTTGAATAACTAGTCTAGTGCCACGGATTAGGATATCACCTCGTTCGATCAACGTGCCGAGCCCGTGATCCCATGACCTCACCGCCGAATAGCTGCATTGTCTATTCACGACTAGTCACGTCTTTTCAACAAGCATGACTGATCTCAAGGGTCCTGCCTGTCTATCTCAGACTAGTCTCGTATTCCTCCCTGCGTTGTCGACGCATCAAAGAACCGTCAATAACTGGAAGCCCAAAGAGGAATTAATTGACAGTATGGTCTGAGCTATTGACGTTGTATTGCATCGTGAAAACAACAAAAACACCAGGCCAAGAACATCGGGTTGTGGATCGATGATAAAAACTCCGCAAATGGGAGTTTTAGCAACATGGATGATCCCACGGAGCATCGAGAGAACACGAGAATTTGAACGTCATGGGCTCAGCGATCTTCCTGGACAAAAAGACCTCAAGGATCCATTCATTCATTATTCAAGTGCCGGAATTTCCGGTACTGGCGCAGTTACGAGACGGATCCAGGATCTACTACTAATCTGGCCCTCTTCTGCTTGTGCCCGAAAAGTGAATCCGATGTGAGAACCCGTGATGCACTATTGACGTTGACATCATGGTGGTGAGATGGATGCTAATTGAGGTTCTGTGCTATTTTGGGATATGGAGCTTGGGTGTTCTGGAAGCCTCTGAGTAGTGGGCTGTCGGCATAACCGGTTGGGTTGGGGTCGCACGGCCGGTCACTTGCTTGTTCACAGAAAACACCATCGAAATGCTAAAACAAAGGCTGGGAATGTGTCATTTATTGAATAGCTAGCTCTCTGAGACAATTGATCCCAAACCCCAATAGTGCATATGCCTTGACTCAGAATGCCAGATCATGAGAAAGAAATCGCCCAGAGACGGGATCGTCAAATTCAACTTAGACAGGGCATGCTAGTTTGCACAGCAGTGGACTTACTAAAGCCAAGTAATGCACACACGGAGTTCTACAATCTTCAAGATATCTCTACTAAGCAAGCTGAGGCCCACAAACATACAAATCACAAACAATGCGTTGGGCAGAGAGAACAGTGCAACATCGTATCCGTTAACGTCAGATATAGAGGATCAAGCTGAGCCTCATACATAATAATAGAGGAAGCCAAGAATTAGAAAGAGTGGCTCTCCTCGTATCGAAAAACTCCGTCATTGCAACAAACAGAATTATTCCTCATGCATAATAGCTCAGATAAGATTATCATCATCAGACTTATAACCCGATAGCCCGAAGCAATATCCCAGCGCAGCTCAGACCATTCAGTGTCCATATTTAGCAATCAGAATGAATCCCTTTGGCCTTCAACAAACTCTGTTATCGACCAATAGATAGAAGGCCCGCCTCAACAGCTCTGGACTGAAGAGCCAGAGTATTTTACCCCGCCAAATGCCATTCACTCTGCTGGTGTTGAAGCAAATTTTCAGTAATAAGACCTAGGGCGCCCAAACCGCATGTTTTTTTGCTCAAGTGGTGGAGAGCTCCGTCATCGGGGAGACTTCGACCATCATGTCAGTCACAGTAATAGACAATTCCACTATCGGCCAGACTTCCTTTGATGTGACATTTCATCCTTGACTTTGCAATTCGAATTCCTCTGTCGTGAGAAGTTAGGAAAAGGCGTTGGAGTTGTACTAGCCCCGATTTGCTTTTGCTTCGCGCCGTTAGGCCCTCTCCTCGCTGGGTATCTTGTCTCAAAACCTTCCTCCAAATAACAAGCTCCAGTTCCGAACTTCGGCATACACCACAGCAAGCAAGCAAGCAGCAGTAGCAGCAGCAGCAGTCATGGAATCATTCATCATCAAGACCCCCAGCTCCAGCGCAAACATTGGCCCCGGCTTTGATGTCATTGGTCTTGCTCTGTCTGTCTACCTTGAGCTTCACGTAACCATCGATCGGTCAAAGACAAAGTCCGAGCACCCACTCAACTGCAAGATCACCTACGAGGGAGAGGGCGAGGATGAGATTAGCCTTGACCCCCAGGTCAACCTTATCACACGTGTAGCACTCTATGTCCTGCGCTGCAACGACCAGAGGGCGTTCCCTGTTGAGACCCACGTGCATGTCAAGAACCCCATCCCTCTAGGTCGTGGCCTTGGTAGCTCAGGTGCCGCTGTTGTTGCTGGTGTTGCTCTGGGCAAGGAAGTTGGAGGATTGAAGCATCTCGACAATGACCGACTATTTGACTACTGTCTCATGATTGGTAAAACTTACCCTCCGATAGACTCAGTTGCACGCTAACCGCAATTCCAGAGAGACATCCTGACAATGTCGGAGCTGCCCTCTACGGAGGTTTTGTCGGAACATACCTCAAGCCCTTGACTCCCGAAGACGTTGCCCGAACCGAAATTCCGCTTAGCGAAGTTCTACCTGCGCCAGCCGGAGGTGAGGACACGGGCAAGAAGCCGCCGAACCCTCCCTACGGAATTGGTCACCATATCAAGTTCCCATGGGCCAAGGAGATCAAGGCTGTTGCCATCATCCCTGATTTCCAGGTTGCTACACATGCTGCACGAGGAGTGCTACCTGCGAACTACACTCGTCCCGATGTGGTATGCCAAACCCCGAATGTCTGGTTAAGATGAAGCTAATCCACGGCCTTAGGTCTTCAACCTGCAGAGAATTGCTCTTCTGCCCGTCGCCCTGGGCCAGTCCCCTCCCGATCCCGAGCTCATCCATCTTGCCATGCAAGACAAGATTCACCAACCCTACCGCCAGACTCTCATCCCCGGTCTGACTGAGATCGTCGAAACAATGTCCCCAAAGACTGACGAAGGCTTCCTTGGTGCCTGTCTGTCTGGTGCCGGTCCTACTATTCTGGCTCTTGCCACGCACAACTTCGAGGCTATCGCCGCCAAGATTATCGCCAAGCTGCGAGAACACAACGAGAAGAAGGATCTGCCGTGCCAATGGATGGTACTTGAACCTGCTGAGGGTACCCATGTCATTCGCTCATGAGTATGAAATCGTGAGAACAAACACCATGAGAGGAATTAGTATGACCGCACGATTAAAATCGTGGCTGGGACTGCATGGACATGTGTATCACGTAAAAGGAATTATGTTTGGCTGGCAAACTTATGAGGAACGAGGATAGAGGGTCACGCCCAGGCATGGAGTATGCGAGAACGATTCAATGAAAATAACGCAATAAGAGGGAAATTTAGATATATTCGGTTTATGAAAATGGTTGGTGGGCTAGGTGTATGTCAGTGTGATATCCTGAACTAGACTATGGAACCTGCACCGCATCGTTGTTATTACGATGTTACAGAAAGGTACAACTGAATGTCATCATGGGATACATTTTCAAGTCCAGAATAAACTCAATAAAAAAATCTTCAAATACAAGGATACTGTAATGTTAGCATTCTGTTCCCTGAGGAAAGGAATATCGGCCGAATATCTCGTGTGGCTATAGGTTAGTTCCGTTGTGGGATTGGGGAGAAGCCATTTATTGGCATTGCACTTGGCCATATTATGTTGTTCAGAGTAGCTATTTACTAGCAGGTCAATACTCACAGCCGAACATCAATATTGAATTCAGATGACAGGAATTCGATTGCATTCATAGACAACATGAGCTCTGTTTGTTACGATGTTAGGAGCCTCTATATGGGAGTAGGCTTCCTGTCTATATAACCATTGGCTAGCACCCAACAACTCACAACCACTTCATGATTCTATCAACCGAGCCGGAAACTATCCCGTTGTTTTCCAAGATTGAGGGGAAGGTTTCCACCGATCTCGGCGGGTGTTACCATCTTTTTATTTCGATAGGCCGAACCGTTGCCTTTCCCCAACTCCAAGACTCTGGTTTCGCTGTAACCTACCCCGAAGAACCGAGGCTTGGGTTGCACGACGGCAAATGCGTGCTTATAATAAACAATGTCCTCAGTGAACCCCTCACGAGTTGACAATTCCCCTGCTCTTCTCATTTCATTTGTGACCTAGAATTCACTGCCAAAAATGTCTGCTCCTCCGCCCAAGGGTATCTACGTGCCCGTTCCCACGTTCTTCGCTTCTAAGAAGACTGCCAACTACAATGCCATTACCCCTCCCATCGATGTTGAAACACAGGTTGCTCATTCTGTCTACCTGGCCAAGAATGGAATCAAGGGTCTAGTCGTCCTCGGTAGCACAGGCGAAGCTGTTCATATTCACCCTAGAGATCGCCACGCCATTCTCAGTGGTATCAAGGCTGGTCTTGAGAAGGAGGGTTTCAAGGATTATCCCATTATTGCGGGCACAGCGACAAACAGCGTCGAAGAGACTGTTGAACAACTCAAGGATGCTCAAAAATCGGGTTCCCAATGGGGACTGTGCCTCGTTCCTGGGTACAATGCCGGTGCAGTTACACAGGAGGGTATTATCCAATGGTTCACAGCAGTTGCTGACCAAAGTCCCATTCCTGTCATGATGTAAGTCGTCTCGACCCAATTATACCAAAACCCCGGACTAACCAGATTGCTCAGCTACCATTACCCCGGAGTCTCAAACAACGTCAAAGTTGCACCTTCGACATATGCCACGCTTGCAAAGCACTCCAACATTGTCGGCTGCAAGCTCTCCCATGGAGATGTCTCGGTAGCCGCTCAGGTTGCTTCCAACCCATCCATCGATCACACCCACTTCCACTGTTTTACAGGCCTCGGTCAACAGCTCCTACCTGTTATCTCAGTTGGCTTTGCCGGCGCCATTGATGGCTCAGCGGGTTTCTTCCCCAAGTCACTGGTGCGACTTTTCGAGCTGTCGTCCAAGACACAGCCTACAGATGCTGAGATCCAGGAGCGAAGACTGCTGCAGTTCAAGGTTAGCTCAATGGAGGAGCTTGTGGTCAAGTTTGGTACTGTGGGTATCAAGGATGCTATTAGCAGGCTGAGAGGCTTTGGAGATACAGACGGTACGAGGTTGCCGCTCGTCGGTGGTATTCCTGGTGGTGATGCTGAGTGGGCGAAGTGGAAGGGAGTCATTGATGCAGTTGATGAGGTTGAGAAGTCGCTATAAGCATTCAGAAATATAGAATAAAGAAGAGCATAAACCTCGAATGTTAGGATCATAATCAGTGGACAAATCAACTTTAGAACTGTGTGATCTTGAACCATCATCTTGTTCATAGCATCTGATCCTCAGGCTTGTGAACTATCGTCATAGACTCAAATTTGTGCATTAACTCTCAACAAATAACCGGGCGAATGGTTTAGTGGTATAATACTCCCTTAGCATAATTCGACCGAATAAACTGGGAGTGGTCCAGGGTTCGATTCCCTGTTCGTCCATTGCAGGTGGTTAGATTCCACTATTACATCCTCTTTTTGCAACAAGCTAGTTCATCTTTTTGTCCATACAACTGTTAATTATAGAGTTACCTTTTGTGATGCTATTTGAGACGGCTGCTGCTGATATAAATCCTGCTTCTCCGCGTGCGGTAAGCTGACGTGTGATAAATAGACAGAGTCACAGTCATGTTATATATCTTGCAGTATCTTGCGTATTGAATGCTTACCGTGTCAGAAAGCATGTCGTAAGAAAGCCAGCATAAATCTGACGAGACCTCCCTGCTAAAATGCTCTTATGCTCTCCCGTTCTCTGCCTGTTATTCTCCGGCAGGATTGTTCTATTTGTCCTTTGACTGTCGTAACATTTTCGTCGCTTATACAAGCCGGCCGAGTCGCGTTCCCACCAAACTTCCGTGCCTCGGCTCCTTCAATACCTACGGAGTAATCGATAGTGGCATATCGCAAAATAGCCTTGAACTTTTCAAGGGGCAACTACCTAAACTTCAGGGCCTTGGACACTCACTAGGTACCTACGGCATCCTCGGCGTTCGTCACAGGCCTTGATTGGCAAGTCTCTGTCACACGAGATTGGGCGGGCTTTAATTAACCGTAATCGGTTGAGATAAATACCGGGTGAATCCCATCCTTCCAATCCCTCAGGGTTGTCGCAAACACCAGAATCGCTCATCATGGCTGGCGCAAGTAAGAAAATGTTTGGGCTTTCTCATGTGGTGCCTGTCATCATGCCTCTCGCTCTAGGTTCTGCTGGATACGCTGCCTATCGGGTCAATTGGGGTCCTCTGATCAAGGCTTTCCTTACAGGACCTGGCCGCACGTCGCGGATCTTCTTGCTACTGTTCATAGTGTTCAACTGGAAGAGCATGCCCTTTGCTTGGACTGTAAGTCTCGATGGTCTATCCTGGCTTTGGTATAACACCCTGACACTCTATAGTACCGAGTCTTCTACGTGATCTTCTACCATACCTTTTGGCGCAAATCGCCAAATCTTGGACCCGAGGCCCTCTTCAAACCCATGATCTCTACCACCCACGCCCCTCTTCTCGAGATTGACTACAACTTCCACAAGTCTAATTCGACCTATTTCGCCGATCTCGACGTCTCACGATCTCACCTTGTCACATATCTCTGCCGCGCATCCTATATTACACTCGCCCAAAACACGAAGACGAAGATTGTCCTAGACCCCAAGACCGATCAGCCTATCAAGGGCCAGATGAGCATCATACTTGGTGCTGTCGAGTGCAGCTTCAAGCGCGAGATCCCTGCGTATAAGAGCTTCGAGATGTGGAGTCGCATTCTATGCTGGGACCGCAAGTGGTTATACATCGTGACACATTACATCCCCAAGGGAGCTGCGAAGCCAACATCATGGCTGGACCCCACGTTCAAGAAGGTTTCTGTGCGAGGCCCTCAAGATGCTGCCGGTGGATGGGAGAAGAAGATTTATGCTACGGCCATAAGCAAGTACGTTTTCAAGCTGGGTCGCTTCACTGTGAACCCGGCTATCATGCTCGGCGGCGCCTCTGGTCTACTGCCTGAGCGACCTGGAGGTTGGACCTCTGGTGAACAGCAACTCGGCGATCTTTCTGCTGATGTCTCAGATGTGGACTTGAATGTCCCTGGAGAATGGGATTGGCGACGTGTTGAGGCGCAGCGACGTAAGGGTATGGAGTACGCAAAGCACTTCCAGGAGCTCGATAACTTGCATGACTTGTTTGACGGAGGCAATGAAGGCGCTCTTGGCAAGTTCACACCCTAAATCAAGCGAGACAGAATGTGTCAGACCAGACGAAGTCGGATAAATAGAACTAGAACATATACATGGGCAGCAGCCCGCCCTTAGATATCGGCGTTGTATAGAAGGATTGTCAGAGCTAGAAGGGAATCAGGGTAGTATCTCGAGTGCTTCATCATCGGTAGGCACCTTCAATGAATGTATGACGCTTGGAGACCGCATCGAAGGCTACCAAGACGTAGACTAGAAGATCATAAGAAAACATATTCGTCTGTGATCCAGCTTCAATGCATTGTCGAGTCGAATATGCGGAAGGAGAATGCAAGATTTTCAGGTAGGTTCCTTTGCAAATCACCCATAAAAAAGTATGGTAGCCTGTAGGTCGGCTCCGTTGAACAGGAGGCAAAAGACCTCGCAGCCTAGACCAAGTTCAATATCACATCGAAACGTCAAGAGTCAAAGTTGCAGCTACTATCTATCTTGGCATCGACGCCTGGCCAAAACGAGAAGTTTGAAGTTTTTCAGTTGACATAATTTGGTGGTCCACAACGTCAGATTTTCTGACTCGGTGCTTGACTCTATGTTTGGTCATCATCATAAAAACTTCAACCCATCTCATCCAAGTTCAGGTCTCTCCCAAAGAGGGGAACTTCCAGTGAAGTTTAGAGTGTAAAAAAGGAAAAGACCGTCACCCAGAAGGTCAACGGGATGCCGGCCCCTCGCATCAAGAATGAGCCCCATCGAGTAACCCAGCTTTCGCCGAGCAATCGCATATCTATCAATCTCGACAACAAATCCTCTGCGACCCGACACCACACGTGCGAGCACCAAGCGTCTACCAACCATCAACCTGCCAGACGACTCGTCTGTCTCGAAACCAACCAATCTCTCGGCAGCGGACTCATATCTTCATCCAAGGGGACCGAGAGCGGCAGAGAACGTGATTCAGAGCCTTTAACAAACTGATGTAACGGAGGGCAGGGCCGGTGTAGGACGTGGGCCTGGGTGCAGAAGTCAGCCGCTGTGCTTCTATGGCGGCGCGTTTCCGCAAGCTCCGTCGAAACGAAGATGTCCGGGGACTTTCTCCCAAAGCCAGAATGAATGCGAGACGCTGCGATTAATCGCAGTGTCTCTGTTTGTAAGCTTCGAATGGCGATTTTTCGAGCGAGGGGCGCGGATGAAGAGAAGAAAGAAGAAGGAAAAATCGTACCCAGCTCAAGTTGAATTTTTATGCACGAAATGGGGCTGAAGTGTGGCGTCCTGAATCAGAGCTCCCAGGTGTGGCTGTACCTCAGCTTGCTGCCTTTTTTGTGTGACGCGGGTTGGCCAATCCGAACTTCGCGTTGAGAAGGCTGGGTCGCTGCCTTCGTGCCTGTTTATTCATTCTCAGTACAAAGCTCGCGGCGCAACCAGTTTCAACAGTGCAAACATCAATTCTCTACTCCGTAAAGATCTGTTTTTCGTCCGAGATCAGTCGCTTGGCCAGTTGGAAGCTTCGCTCATAAGCCGATTAGTTTTGAGTCTCAGGAGCGGGATCCCAAGGACAAAAAGACAAAAAAAGGGCCACCAACTGGCTTTCAACTTCTCTCCTCCAACACACCGCAACCATGTCGACCCTCTTTGGCGGCGCTTCTGCCGCAGCAACAACAAGCAATACTGTAGGCGATCTCAAGCAAGACGTGGCGCTTTCCGACCCCCCGACCGATACCATCTCCGACCTTTCTTTCTCCCCAGCGCCAAACGGACCTGACTTCCTAGCCATCTCCAGTTGGGATAACAAGGTTCGCATTTACGAGATTGCCGCCAATGGCCAGAGTCAGGGCCGACACGCCTACGAACACAGCCAACCTGTGTTGAACTGCGACTTCTCCAAGGTACGAGGATATGTTGATCCGGGGAAACGAAATGGCAACTAACTAGGTTTCTAGGATGGAACAAAAGTCGTCTCTGCCGGCGCTGACAAGAACGTCAAGGTCTGCGATCTTGCTTCCCAGCAGGACGCCGTTATCGGCACACACGATCAGCCAGTGCGAACATGTCGATTTTTCATGAACGATGGTAACCCCATGGTGGTTTCGGGCTCATGGGATAAGACGATCAAGTACTGGGATCTTAGACAACAAGGACCTGCGGCAACCGTACAATGCCAGGAGCGAGTTTATACGATGGACGTCCGCGATAATCTCTGTGTTGTCGGCACCGCCGATCGATACATCAATGTTATTGATCTCAAGAACCCTACCAAATTCTATAAAACCCTGCAGAGCCCTCTCAAGTGGCAGACCAGGGTGGTTAGCTGCTTTACAGACTCTGCTGGTTTTGCTATTGGTAGTATCGAGGGTCGTTGCGCTATCCAATACGTTGAAGACAAGGACTCCAGGTAAGAAGCCTCTTGAACACGCATCTTTTGACCAGCTTAGACTAACACATTACAGTTCCAACTTCTCTTTCAAGTGTCATCGCGACCCCCCGGCCAACAGCGTCACCAATGTCTATGCCGTCAACGATATTTCTTTCCACCCCGTTCATGGCACATTCAGCACTGCCGGTTCCGATGGAACATTCCACTTCTGGGACAAGGACGCCAAGCACCGTCTCAAGGGCTACCCTAACGTTGGTGGCAGCATCACTTCCACAACCTTCAACAAGAACGGTTCCATCTTCGCCTACGCTGTAGGCTACGACTGGGCTAAGGGCTACCAGCACAACACTCAGAACTACCCTATCAAGGTGATGTTGCACCCTGTCAACCAGGACGAGTGCAAGCCCAGACCATCACTCAAGAAGCGATAAAGGATCACACGAATACCAAGGGGACGGGCTATAGGGGAGGGAATGGATTTCGTTGGTCGATTAATAGTTAGTTGCGATTATGGACTGTACCACAATTAGTGAAGACTCCAAGATTGATAGGAAAGGGCCGAAAAGGATGGACGTTGAGTTTGGACCAAAAAGAGCAAGGCAATGCAGGT